AAGTAAAGAAGATGAAGAAGAAGAAAAAGGTAGAAGACGAAGGAGAGGAAATGAGGAACAGAACATGAAAGAACATTTTGCTAGTGTTACTATTTTCTCTTTATTATTTTTTTTTGTTGGTAATATTATTGGGAGTATTACTATTACCATTATCATTTATATTATCAGTAACATGACCACTGATATAATCATAATCAGAATCCTAACTATAATTGTAATACTATTATTACTACTATTACATTATTATTATCATGTTTACCACTATCACAGTTATTGTCACTATCATTATTAACGTTATAATCACAGGTGCTACTCCTGTCACTAACATCATAATCATTATTATTATCAATATGTTGATGAATGCTTATGATATAAATAAACAAATATGAATAATGATATGAATAATGAAAAATGTGATGATGATGGCGAATGGCAATAATGGGGATAATAGTGATAGTAAAAATGACAACAAAAGTAACAAAAATAATGATGATAACAGCTAATATTATTAATGACAACACCATCAACAACAATCATAATTATGATGGTGATAAAGACAGCAATTGTAATAAAAATCATTATGACATTGACAAAAATCAATAATAATAATAATAATATTTAAAAAACAATAATAGTGATAACAGTGGAAATGATATTGAATATTGATAACGACGATAATGACAACAATAAGAGATAATAATGGCAACGATAATCACTACAAAAATTCTACTATAATTATTAAGAATAATGATGATAATAATGATAAAAATAAAAATAATAATCAAAATAATATTGATAATGATAATAATAATAATAATAATAAATAATAATAATAATAATATAATAATAATAATATAATAATAATAATAATATAATAATAATAATAATATAATAATAATAATAATATAATAATAATAATATAATAATAATAATATAATAATAATAATAATAATAATAATAATAATAATAATATAATAATAATAATAATAATATAATAATAATAATAAATGATAATAATATTGATAATGATAATAATATTGATAATGATAATAATAATAATAATAATAATAATAATAATAATATAATAATAATAATAATGATAATAATATTGATAATGATAATAATAATAAATGATAACAATATTGATAATGATAATAATAATAATAATAATAAATGATAATAATATTGATAATGATAATAATATTGATAATGATAATAATATTGATAATGATAATAATATTGATAATGATAATAATATTGATAATGATAATAATATTGATAATGATAATAACATTGATAATGATAATAATAATAACAAATGATAATAATATTGATAATGATAATAATAATAATAAATGATAATAATATTGATAATGATAATAATCATAATGGCAATATTAATAAGATAATGATCATGATAATAATAACAAAAATGATGATGATGATGATGATAATAATAATAATAATAATAATAATAATAATAACAATAACAAATAATAACGATACTATTAATGACACTAACAATTATAGTGATAATGATAGTGATACTAATATTGATACTAACAGTAATGATAATGATGATAACGATAATAATGACTGATATTAATACTCTACCACTATAACTACGACCATACTACTACTAATAATAATGATGTTATGTTAGTAATGGTAATGATAAAGCTAATAATAATAATAATAATAATAATAATAATAATAATAATAATACTAATAACGATAAAGACGATGGTGATGGTGATGATGATAACAATAACAATAATAAAAAATATAACAAAAGTATTAACAGTAATAATGTTAATGATAATGGTAATAGGATTGTGATATCGATAATGATAACAGCAATAATTACAACCATAATCATGATCATTGTTACGAGAAACAAAAATTATATTAATGATAATGATATGAAAAATTATTATTATAAAAGTATAAATAACAACAGTACTAGTATTAATAAAAGCAATAAGAAAGGTAATAATAATTATAATGATGATGATGAAGATGATTATGATATTGATAATGACAATAGAATAATGGTAATAATAATAAAAATAATAGTAATGATAATAATAATAAATATAATAATAACAATGATAGTAGTATCAATTATAATAATAATGGCAATGATAAGAAAAACAAAAACAATAATAATAATAATAATAATAAACAAAATAATAAAATAAACACAAACAAGTATTACTATTATAACAATAATAAAACCAACTATTACATCATAACAATAACAACATACATCAACAGTAATAATGATGTTTCATTAGTATAGTACACCCAACATCTAAATATATACAGGACCCTTTAGATGGCAACACCCCTAGCTGATGGCGTTGATTTGTTGCAGAAAACTGTCTCTCATTTGATTATCATATGCATACTTTTGATCAATGTGTATATATGTATATATGAGTAAATATATGTATATATGTGTGTGGATGTATACATATATACACTTTTTTCCTCATAAACTGGATAATTATAACATGTGAATTTATTTTAGGCTATTTCTATAGTAATATATAAAACAATATATAAATCAATTATGGTGAAATGGTACACCAATAGATAAAATAGTTTTCATATTCAAATTTAATCTGAAGATGGAATAACGAATTTTATATCAACCAATCCGAATCAACTAGACATGTTGCCATCTAAGGTGTCCCTACATTTACATAGATGTTACTGTACTGTGATTATTAATACGATATAACAGTAATGGGTCATAGTAACAGGGGGGAGTGATGAAGGTGATGATTATGATAAAAAAGATTATGTCACTGATACTGATAATAATAACGATATTGATAACAAGAAAAATAAGAAGAAAAACAACAGCAACAACAACAATAATAAAAAGAACACTGATAATGACGATGATGAAAATAAGAATGATAAAATTAATGACAATACTAATCAAGAACACGATCATGATAATGAAATAATAATAGTAATGATAATGCTAAAAACAATGATAATGACAATGCTTATAATAATAATATCAAGGCCAAAAAAGAACATAATCATAATAATAAAGAAACAACAATAACAATAACAATAACATCAACAACAACGGTAGTAAGAATGATAATGATAAAAATTATGACAATACTAATAATGATAATAATAATAACAACACAATAACAACAATACCGATAATAATAATAATAATAATAATGAAAATGATAATAATGATAGTAAAAATAGTAATGATAATAAAGGCAACAATATTAACAACGATGATAATGACCTCAACATAAAAACAAAGACAATAAAAAATATATACACAGCTATGAGGATAATATAATGTTAATAATATCACTAAAACAATAACAGTAATAATTATAATGAACTCATTTACTGTTATTATCCATATCAAAATAATAATTATTGTTATTATCATTACCCTAAATCAAGATGATCATGTTATTATTATGTGTCATTTTTACAGTATTATCAATATTATTTTGAACGTTTGTTTACATCTTTCCTAGCACTTGGTTTAATTATCTTTACCTTCATAATCATTATCAACATTACTACTGTAATTATGGTATTCTCATCAAAGATAATATTACTATTGATCTGCCGTAACGTAAATATTGAAGTTATCATCTACGTTATGACTATTACTATTGACATCCAGCGTTACACTGTTATCATTACTACTATTACAACTTATGCCGTTATTGTTATTATCATTGGCGTTATTGTTACTGTTGTTATTTTGTTAGTTTTCCGTTTCTCAAATTATACATTGATACTGCTGCCATTAATCAGTTATCGTTTGATCTTTAAAAAAAAAATCAACATTTCATCGTAACTCATTGTAAATATTTGGATTTTTTTGTCTTGATGGTAGAATACTTCTGTTATCGTATGCAAGTTTCACCCTTATCATCACCATCATCACAATGCTACCACGGCTAACCTTTCATATAGCTTACAATAGTTACTACTGTCTCATTCTATTGGTTAGTTACTGCTGTTACTACAATTACTACAGCAACAGCCACTGCTACTACTTCTGATGCTGTTGCTACTACTCCTGTTTTTATTACAGAATTACTACTATTAATTCTACTACTACTAGTGGTGGTGGTACTAGTATTAATCGCTATAGTATAGTAGTAGTAGTAGTAATAGTAGTAGAAGTATTAGCAGTAATGCTACAAGTAATAGTAATACTTGTAGTAGCAGCAGTACTAATGCTAGTAAGAGTAATAGTAACAGCAGTACTAATACTAGTAAGAGTAATAGTAGCAGCAGTAATAGTAGTACCAGTAGTAGTACTATCACTAATGGTATTGCTCTAATTGCTTCAAGGCACCTGTCTATTGTTTATTTCTTCTCCACAACAGTCCTCCCACACCGACCATCTTTACATCTTTACACCATTCATACCAAGCATAGTTGTCCTACAGTGATTAATCCTGACAAAACTACTACTTCATTCAGCCGAAGGACTTACATTCATCTCACATTCCAATTCATCCCTTGAATGTGCACCCAGGTAGGCAGGATCTAAGAATGCGTTACTTAATTCTGACGTTTCCAGGTATGTCATTGGGCAAACCAGGTAGTTTTCTTACTAGATGCCTTGTTCTGATATTGTGTGAGATATTTTGTGAGTTGTTTAATTATCGTGACACCGGCCTTGTTTTACGAGAAGTGGAGTTTAAGTGGAAAGTTATTCTACTTCGGGTAAGGATTTTCTTTCTGCTTCCAGGTAAGATTCTACAGCCCTCCCCGTCCCCCTTCCCCTCCCAACCCTCATATCCCCCTGATGTCAGGTACCCCATTCTTCCTTTCAGAATAAGTGGCTGTAATTACCGTCCTGAGACCTATTCCTCATCTTAGTGTTTCACATGAGTATCCTAAATTACATATAAAAGGCTTCACTCCCTCCTGATAGGCGATTCAACTCCCCTCGGGCTGTGCGGACGAGGGTCACAACAGAGACTTACTTGCAGATAAGGTCAGGCGCGTCCTGCTCTCCCGGGGACATGGGGCAGTCTGGCGTCATGGTCGAGTCTGGAGAGGCTGCTTCGTCGCCTTCGTCGTGCGAGGTCGTGGTGGTGGGCGGCGAGAGACTGATCTTGCTGGAGTGGCACGACAGCGAGGGGGCGTTCTCGCGAGTGGTGGCGTGGCTGAGCCTTCGGTTTGGCGCCGGAGAACAGGTGATATATCTTTTCCCCTCACAGTCAGTTTGCTTTTCAATATCTGCGTTTTTTTTTGTTACCAAGTTGCCGTCTTTATTTTTTTTCGGTGTAAGCAATGTTTTGTGGATGGAATTTGCTGACCAGAGATTAATGATTGTCCTGGCGTAAACAGGATTGCACTTCTTGCTTGAGACAGTTCAGTTCCGGGGGAATGTCGCAAGGTTTTTCTCTTCGCAGTCGAACATAATGTTTGAAACTCCAAAGACCTAATTCTCTCTGTTGTTGCGAGGCAAGCGTGACACCTGTTGCAGGCGAGCGTTTCAAGTTCCTTGTCCCGTTTTAGACAGATGTCCAAGACTTTGCACTGCAGGTGTCTAGCACTTTTTGGGGTGTACGTTTCAGGCACTCTGAGCAAACCTGTAAATCCAAAGACCTTGTTTTAGTTTCACACAAAACCTCACTACTTCTTAATCAAGACAAAGACACACATGAGGTAAAAGTCGCTGCAAGGGACACTGTGGGTGCGGTGTTATGGCAGTTAAGAAGGGAGGGTAAACACAGGGCGTGCGGTGCACCTTGTGTGCGGCTGCGGTAGGTTGCGGGTGCGGAGGGATGAGGTGGATGTGCGGCGTGTGCGGCCGCTGCGGCGGGACTGACGGCCAGCGTGCGGGCAGCTCAGGTCCCCGCCCCCCACCGCGCCGCCGCCACCCAGGGCCCACCACACCCCGGGGGACAACTCCCCGCGACACCTGCCCCACCTCACTCCACCCCGCCCTTCCTCCGTCGGGCCGCCCATCCACCTTGGCCCCGCCTACGCCCACCCTGCGCCCTTCCACCGGCGGGGCACCTCAACACACCCATCGCCACCGCTGACTCGCTGATTGGGCCTCTCCACCTGCAATGAGCCCGCCCACCTGAGTTCGGCGGCCAATGGGAGCCCGCGAAGTGACACTCGAGGGAGGGGCCCGGAGGGGGGACCGGGAGGAGGATAAGGGGAAGGGGGGGAGAAGGGGGGAGGCTTGCCAGGTACGGCGGAAGGTGTTTAGGGGGAGGAGGGAGGGGGGAAGGGAAGCGGGAGGACGGAGGGGGAGGGGGAGGGACACCCAACCGGCTCCTGCCTGACACGGTACAAAAATTGCCTTCAAGCCATCACATTTTTTGTCGATACCCTGATCTCCCCCTCCTCTCCTCTCCCCCCACCCTCTGGTCAGTTCGCCACCCCCCTCCTACGCCTCCCCTTCCCCCCCTTCCCCTTCCCAACTCTTTCGGACAGTTCCTCTCCCTCTCTCTTTCCCTCTTCTCTCTCCTCCCCTCCCGTCTCCCAAAAGAGGAAAATATTGGTTTCCTTCTGGCTTTTGTTTTTTTTACTTTTTCTCTTTCCCTTTTAATCTCCTTCTTCCTCCTCCACCTTCTTCTTCTTCTTTATCACCTTGTTCTTATTCTTTTTCTTCTTCCTCCTCCTTTTCCCACTTCCTCCTCCTTCCCCACCCTCCTCTTTCTTTTCTTCTTCTATCACCACCTCCTCTTCCCCTCTCCTCTTATCCCCTCTTCCTTCTTTTCTTTCTCCTCCTCCTCCTTCCCCTCCTCTTATTCCCTCTTCCTTGTTTTCTTTCTCCTCCTCCTGCTCCTCCAGCTCAACCCTCTTCTCCTCCTCCTCCACCTCTTCCTCCTCCTCCTCCCCCCCCCCCCCCCGACCATTCCCATCTACTCACTCACACTCTCATTTCCTTATTCACATCCTCACAACCCAAAAAGGCAAATCCTCGTTCATTCTCATTCATTCTTTTAATCTTTTACTCACTACCACACTCACCCTCACCTCCCCTCCCCCCAACTCCCCCCTCCCCCCCCCCTACACCCGATTCTCTCCGCTGTCTCAACGACCCACACAGACACCGGTCCTTGCACTGATTCACACACAGTAATTTCATCCTCAGGAGAAACGAGTAAAGAAAGATAAAAAAAAAATCTCTTGTGAGTACAGTAACATGTTCGGGCTCTCTTCTAATGCACCTTCTTGTAAACTAGAATATAAGTTTGTACACACGCGCTCATATGCACATACAAACACGTGCAGGCAGGCACACGTACGTATATAGGTGTAAACATATACATGCACACTCATGAGCAAACGCCCGAATCATAGACAGATACACGGGCACTCAGATACACAGACGCACATGCACACATGTACGCATACGCACACGCACGCACACAAACACACACACACTCACACTTACATGCACACACTCACACACATACACACACACACACACACACACACACACACACACACACACACACACACACACACACACACACACACTCATACTCACAAACACACACACACACTCACACTTACACGCACACATTCACACACAAACACACTCACACTCGCCCTTGAGTCTCCGCCCTGGCACACTTCGAGGGCTGCCCAGGCGCCGCCGCCGCCGCAAGCGCCCCTCCTCCTCGGGCCAGGCAGCGCGCGAGGCGGCCCGCGGGCGCCCGAACGCGAGGATCAAGAGGGCAGCTCAGGGTAGCGGGTGGTGGGTGGCGGGGCATTGCAGCTGCGTGTGTGGTGTCAGCGGGTAGGCTGGTGGGTGGCTGCTGCCCCTGGGAGCGCCGCCCCCCGGGTCGCGGCTCTCACGCCCCTGGAGGCCGCGCGGGCCCGCCCGGGGGGCCGCGCCGCCCCGCCCGGGAAATAATACACCGATGGGAACACCAACTTTTTATGGCCCACTTTCTGCACTCCTCCGAGGCGGGATACAGGCTGCCCTGGGCGCTCCTGTGCCCGGGCGGCGCGAAATGCCACGAGACTGGCTTCTCTGGGCATTCTGTGCATGCCAGCGGCCACTCCGACGGCGGCCCAAGCCAGGCAGCCAAGCCGCCCTCGCGTCCGGCAGAAGCCCTGTCCGACGCCGCCGCCCACCTGCTCCCGCGCCGCCTCGCTCCCTCCCGACGCCTCGCCCGCCCGCCTGCGACCATAAACCTAACCTGGGACACGGATCCTACGCCCTCTCTCCTCCCTTCCCTCCCCCCCGGAGACGGATCCTACACCTCCTCCCCCCCCAAGAGACGGATCGTACGTCCTCTCCCCTCCCTCTCCCCACTTAACATCCCCCACCCCCTCCCCCTCCTCCTGCCACCCCCGACTCTCGCTCACACTTCAGTTCGAGGACGAGAATTACCTCAGCCTAAATCAATCTTCCTCGGGGTTTCTTTTCTCCCTAATCCAAAATGCCATTCGGATAGAGATATCATGACTGCCTTCGGCGCATGACATCTATCTACAACCATCATTGAACTGACAAAGATTGACATACATCTTAATCGGTGATACGATCAGCAACAGTGTTAATCTCAGATCTACACGTTTTTTTTTCTAAAGGCCCTTATAAGACCACATCCATCCAAGTCAACAAATTTCGGTCATCTGAATAAATAAACGCAATATTTTGATTAATGTGAGACAATCATTTACTCGAGTCTGGAGCTCAGTGACATTCAGTTTTTCTTACAGACTAAATCACTAAACTACAGTCTCTTTGAAAGTAATATTATCTTCAAATATCAGTATTATAGGTTACTTTATTATGGTTACACATACTTCTTACGTCATTACGGCTATAATTACTTAATATTATAGTCATGGTTACTGTTACTTCATGCCTCATCATGGCTATAGGCACTTAACATTATAGTTATAGTTACTTAACACCTTTCTTTCTTTGTTTCTTAACTCTCTTTCTTCTTCGTTTCTTTTCTTTCACTGAGGCAAGATGCACTAAAATAGTGACTAATTAAGATAGTGACTGAGTTGACAAGCTGGTGAGGATAAAACACTTGAAATATAAAGATATACGGATTTGTTGCATTTCGTTCAACCTCTCAATTGCATCTTCAACCTCGGTACAGAAAGGGTAAAGTTCGAGGATAATTATTATCTTAAGTAAGGATTATTAAGTTATTATCTTATTTCAACCCTAGAATAAGATTATCCTAGGGTTGAAATAAGGTATGAAATGAAAAATAAGAAAAAAAATATATATAGTTAAAGAAAAATAAGAAAAGAAATATGTAGTTGAAAGAAAATCATAATCGTAGACAAAGATTAGAAGGTATCTTATCCTAAAGAGAGAAAATATAGAAAATGAAAAATAATGAGGGAAAAAAAAGAAGAAGAAAATTATAGTTTTAGGCAAGGATTATAGTGGTTTTATCCTAGGGTTATGACGACCTAATTCTCACCTTTACTCTTCTTTCTTCTTTCCTTTTGTTTTCTCTCATTTTCGTAATTGTCTCCTTCGGTTCTTCCCCTTCCCCCCCCGTTTTCTTTTCTTTTTTTTTTTTAATCTTTTACGGTTTCTCCTGTTACGGAGGCTCTATTGAATGGTCACTGTTTGTCTGTTTTTCTTTATTTGCTTATTTTTATCACTCGTTTCTCTTTCCTACTCATTTTGATTGGCTTTGTTTCTCTGTCTCTGTCTTCCACTCTCTCTCTCTCTCTCTCTCTCACACACACACACACACACACACACGCACACACACACACACACTCCCGTCCCCAGGCGTCACATTCCTGCCCCAAGACGGTCTGTAGAGTCACCTTTATGAACCCATCTGTCCCACGGGAGTCCATCCCTTCCCCCCTAAAACACACGCGATTTTCACCCTTATGGCCTGGAGCCCGAGGGTGTATCGGCGCACCTGTATACACCTGCGTCCCCCTTCACTTGCGTCTGTTCCCCTTCACCTGGGCAGGTGTTCGACCCATTTAGAGATAATTGTTTATAGCATTATTACTTTGGTTCTCGATGCCGATATGTCGACGTTTTTTTGCTTTCTCTCTCTCTCTCTCTTTTCTATTGTTTTTCTTTTTCTTTTTTTCCTCTTTTTTGTTTTCTGTTTTATCTTCTCTCTCTCTCTCTCTCTCTCTCTCTCTCTCTCTCTTTTCGTCCAGTTTTATGCTTTTTTGTCTCTTTGTTTTCTCTTTCTCTTTTTTTTCTCTTTCCTTTCCTCTCGGTTCGTCTCGTTTGATGTTTTTGTTTCTTTCGATTTACTTTTTTTCTGATTACGGTTTCTGGTCGAAGGTACAATGCTGATTTGGAAAACGAGGGAAAAATAGACTGAAGAAATATAAGAACAGGGAGAGAGAGAGAGAGAGAGAGAGAGAGAGAGAGAGAGAGAGAGAGAGAGAGAGAGAGAGAGAGAGAGAGAGAGAGAAAGAGAGAGAGAGAGACATAATATATATCATCGTTATCATCTTATTCGTGCCATTGCCATTGAAGAACTACTTGGCGCCATGTTGACATCATGTAGTTCACTGGGTCTATATACAGGGGTGGCTGACCCATGATCCTTCCCCAGGGGAGTAGTTGTCTAGGTGTGTGTATGTGTGAGATGATGATGATGATGTG